CATAATAAACTGGAGCTATTGAGAATATGGACAAAAAAATGTTTAATGTGCATTTTGTGAAATATTTTATCGAATTATTATGACAAAACAAACAAAAAGTAAACATGTTGTAGGTATAGAGCTTCGCAAGTCGCAGCGATTCGCAACAGCCGCATATGTCTTATATATGTGAAACATAGGATAAACATAAAAAACTGTTTTTATTGTCGTCAATAACAATTTTAAAAAATGATTAATAAATGATGATTGATGCTTTTATAAATTATGACATTTTTATTTTACACGTTCCTATAATACACGTCATCATTATTTACGAATTCATGTAGATTTTAAGGAAAAGGCCCATGCCGCTGCACAAAGTCAATCTATTCATATACATATATACATAGATATATATACAAAAACATGAAAAGAAATTAGTGTTGTCGCGAGCCGTTGGACTTGTTAGAGGTTTATTTGCATTGATATTATAGTAATTGCTATTTATAGTAGATGTTGTACAAGTCGTCTCTCAATCTAGAGAAACGCCGACTTTAACGATCTGATTCTGCGAATCCACGCAAATCCACTATCAGAGCACGGAACTCTTGTTCATTTCTACATGTACAGACCTATGTGTGTATAGATGAAACTCATGTCCGCTAGAGGACCTGAGGATTAGCATTGATCTGCCGACTACATCAATTATCGTTTCAGAGAATACGTTGCTTCAGATTAACTCTCGATTTCTACACGTTTCCGGACGAATATCTAATACTAGTCAATTTTGTTTCCACTGCACTATCGATTTGGCTTTCTAACAACTTTCTGTTAGACTCAGTTAAATTATATCATAGAAACGTTATAGTATTTCAATAATGTAAATAACGATGTGTCCTCACTAAATCATTGCTAATATTTGCTTAGCTTTTAATGCGATTCCAATTATATTCCTTTCATTGTTTCGTGAACCATACTACTTTTTCATCTAACAATAGATACGTTCACTTTTTTCAATCATCATTCATCACTTTTTCTATTTGCATTTTGTATTTGTATTAGATTGTATTGTTCTATTAACAAATTTTTATATCCATGAAAAAAGTATTACCACCGATATTTCATTGATAAAATTGTAATCGAACTCGACAATACTCAAACTGTACTTGTAAGTAAATTATGATAGAAAGTTTGTTAATCATTCTCGACTGATCGATGATGCATATCACCTCTATTTAATAAATATCTTGAGCAACGTATAAATTTGAGACTGGATACGTTTGAATGAAATAAAAACATATTAATGGATGAATTTTCCTGACATACAAACAAAAGTCTCTGAAACGCATAACAAATTTGTAGAAATATTTGTATTTATCAATAACCGTTCAGCTTTGTGCCGTCTTCATAGAAATTTTACAGAAACGATGAAAACATGAAACATATAAATTAATTATAAATAGAAAAAAAAAATATATATATATATATAAGAATATAAATTATTGCATACATCTAATTATTTGGTAGATTTTAATCAATAAATATAATTGTTAATGAAAAAAAAATCATTGATGGTTGCTTATGTACATTATTTATTTTTGAATGGAAGAGGTGTGGTAGTTTTGTGATGTTATTTGTGAACAAGTGAGTCAGTGAAAACTATTTATAATAAATTGTTTATCCTTTTATTCATTTTTTCAGAGTGATGTTAGATAAAGCAATAATGCTGGGATATTTCTTATTTATCAGTTATATTGTTTAATGCATCATTGATAATTAATACCACAAGCGTAGTCATTGTAAATAGATACTCAAGCAAACGTCTATGTTCCTGGATATAACACATCAATTGATTTACATTTTGATTTTTACATCCAATTTTTTACCCCTACAAGGAATGATCAAATTATCAATATTTTTTATTTTATTGAATTTAGTTTAAATATGTATTATATATGGTATATTCAGTGACACTGTTCACAGATGTTATCTATGTAAATGAAATATAATTTTATATAGTAAGATAAAAGAGAAATATTCTTAAAAAATAGCTGCTCCGTTTGCTTGGAAAAAATCAAGATCGTTAATGTGGATGTATTTACAAATATGGAGGTAAGAACATTCTAATTTTTTAAATGGATAGTGAAAAAGTAAGTATATAGAAACATAGTAGTTAAAATTTATTCCTTCAATTATCTGATAAAAAACCCTGGAAGAAAACTATATACGACATTAAATGTTCATTAATATTATGATTGTAGGATATTTAAATAATATTGTAGTAAAATTTTAATTTATGTTACTGCCCTGATTTATTTCAAATATTCATATTACGAACAATGTATTATTGGGTTGAAAAACTTAGGTTTCCAATTTAGTCCAGAATTCTATACTTTTTTTTTAATCATAATATAATTTAAAGGATATGTCGATTCGAAAGAAGGTGTTTTATTATTGTTCTTCTTCACACGTACGTAATTGTAAATCAAAATATTTTTACAGTGAATAGAGAAATTCATCGCTTGTATTTCGACTTGAACACTTATGACAATGCGATAAAAATAATATAATTAAAAAAATGTTTATACATAATTTTATTCATTCAGTTTTAGCTCGTTGGATCAAGTCGAAATAATCAAATTACTAATATTTAACCAACGCTCGAAGGTGATATGAGCGCAATGAATGCCTTTGTTGTTATTTCTTTGACATGATATTTAAATCGCCATTACCTGTCCAGTTATACTTCCAGGTATGAAAATATGTTATTGCAAACTATAGTGAATTGTATTTTCTTCAATGAGTGGCCATTGATGCCTCATATATGTGTACTACAAACTACAGGCGTCTACTAATGAACCGTCTGACGTTTCTAGTACTTCATTGGCAATTAGTTAGACTTACCAAATTTCTATTGCCACTAATAATCGCGAACTGGGTCATCCTTAAACTTCACATATGCCCTATACCTAGTAGTTTCAGCCTAAGTAACCTGCCATACATACAAATCGAAAATAAAAAATGGTCCTTTAATTGCTTTTTACAGCACTTCTGTAATTAGATTAATCTTTCCTTTGCCTACTATCACCAATAATATATTTATAGAAGTGTTTAGGTAGCTATTTAATATATTAAGGAAATATTGAATCATTTACTTTCTGTCTACTGTAGAATAGAGATACGTTGCGAACTAGCAGAGTTAAATGCATTCTTGACAGTTTGCTGCAATCTTCAACTTTTGAAGACTGAAAGACTCCATTGTTATATTTGCTTTGTTGGTGAAGCTCGTCCGCGGTTTCTCCTCTGGGATAAACCCCCTCTACTATTCTCCGTAGGCTTCATTTGATGTATAGGTCCTTTACGTCTTCCGAGACTTGTCTATTACAATTTAATAGGAAAAGTTCCCTGTGTTTCGATTTATTGATTTGATGAGATCTTTTTCTAACTTTCATTCTTACTCAACTGTATCGTTATCCATTGGGTTGGGTTATACCAGGGTAGTACATTTTCTCGAATCATCTTTGAAAGACATCAGGTATATCTCGATTGGCACAGCTTTCCTTGAGTTCCTCCAATTTTAACCGCCACATATCGGCATTCACTTAAAGGGATCAGTTTGGTGTTAAACAGTGAAAATTGTAAGATTTTTATTGGGGTCTAAAAATTTTTCTAATAAAGTTATCACCACAAACATTTTTTTCATCACGAAATACTTGGCAAATGCTTTTATTTATTTATTTATTAAATCCTCTTAATCCTTGATAAATGATTTTCATTTACTTTAACGTTAAGGTTGTTACAATGTAGAAGAGGTGTTTCAGTCAACGCAGTCAAGTGAATACGTGTAGATAAACTTATTACCAGAAAAAAAACCATCTCACTCCTACATGCAATATAGTATAGCGCAGTGTATAATTTTTTATAAACAAATATGTCGAATAAATCGAGTCTTTTTACCCGCATGGAGCCATTACGCCTTCGGGTACATTTTATTCTCACTGAACACTGCTGTCGACCGTCTCTAACAGATGCTTCGACGAGAAGAACAGTCGTCAATCGAACAATAAAATTGATCCGTATGCATATACATGGTTCGGTATTTCACGAAGCTACGTGGCCGTGGATCGTAAATATAGTACATTACGTGCATCACGTGCACTGTAAGTATTGCTAGTGTCCTTCGCTAGTGTCATCTTATTATTTTATCTATTTGCTTTCACCGTATTAATTGTTTTTATATATGATTTCAATAAAAATAGATTTTTATGCTGCCAAGTTTTTTACTATTAAATGCGTGTAAATTGTATTTGTGATTCCTTTCCTTAATTTTAATATTATAAAATAAAAAAGATACGATTCGTATAAATAACTGCTGAAAACATTAATGTACAAAAAATGTATTAGTTCTAAAATAAATTAAACTTAAATGGAATTTAAAATTAAATAACAAATTTATAAAATAAAATTAAATCAAATATTAAAACCAATAACAATATAGTTTCTATACTTTGAATTTCAATTCGAGCATCGATGCCACCTACAGCATAATAATCTCCACGTCATTTCATTTAAGGCCTTTACTTTAAAGGCTTATGATCCTTATTTTATTAACGTTAAAGTTATACTAATAGGCCGTTCCACTTTCAACTATTTTCTAAGTAAACAGCGGAATATCTAACAAATACTTTTACTACGTAAAAAATACATTATTAGAAATATATTTACTTATAATTAAAGCCCCCCCCCCCCCACTAATATGTATCTCAAACTAAACTGGAGAAAATCATGATTTAGTTAAACGAAAGTAGTTGGTATATAAAAAGAATACCTTCGATAAATATCTATATCTATCAATTTCTAGGTGATCTGCGTAGCCGATATTACAGAATGATATTTTAGAAAAATATTGTTACAGAATTAAAAAGCTATACAAATTTTGTAGCTGACATTTTTGTTTAAATACGATCACATTTTGTTTTTTTTCGTTAATATCAATAAATTAATGTGAATAAATTAATCAATCGCAATCTAACCATATATTTTTATTAATAGTATACTATTTATTTACAAAATATTTTTAGTTTGGACGGTTTCCATAAAAAATAATTTTTGGCGATAAAGATAGAAGAAAGCAGTTTAAAAAACGTAATCTTAAACGTTGGTTGTTTAATGGGCAAAAAGTTCATCCGCGAGGGCTCGCTGGCTTTTGTTCGCTGGAGCCTTATATTTGCTGTTGTTAAATTGTCTTAATAATAAAAAGAAAAGAATAAAGTATTCTATTTTATATACGTTATCCTAAGATAGCATGAAACAAACTCATCCGACTAAAAAACTTGACAACCATAAAGATCGAATACAAACATCTGAATGCATTTACTTATTAGAGTACTTAAACTGTTTGTATGGTAATTTAACGCCTACAGATAGGTCTTCTATTTATGGATGTTGTGGTCCCATCGATAACAATTTACCATTACCGGATTGATGATAGGAAAAATGGAAACCAACCCACCCTAACAGCCATAACCTTTATTTTATAATCAATTATATTAAGGTTTTAATACTTTAATTCGACAATTATACCCTATTAAACTGGCACGCTACGTAGACACACCATTAAAGGACACTCGTGGCAAACGTTTTCTGCTTTAAGATGTTATAATAAATATTTACAGAGGCCATCAAAACGATACCTAATACAATGTATGTAAAATATGAGGTTCACAGACAAAATTTGTGAATATATTATTATTATTATTACTACTACTACTATTATTATTATTATTTTATACAAATTTTTTGTACATTAAGTATAATATTTTCAGCACTATGTGTAAATACGCTTAAGTTATCAAATTCTAATGGTATTGGAGTTTCTTTAGAAGGAGAAAATTTGTATTTAGATAATAAATGAACAAGCGCAAGTTTCATTTGTAGAAGTCCTAGACGCATACCTGTAATAAAATTATTGTATTTATATTTCATCTAACAAAATTGAATTCATCTACTGCTAAATGTTTAATGTAAAAATGTGCAGTTGATTTTACGCATAAATTCTTACCAATGCATACACGCGGTCCATCGCCAAATGGAAAGTAAGTATTAGGCTTTATATTACGTTTATTTTCTGGAGAAAATCTTTCAGGATCAAAAATACGTGGCTTAGAAAAATATTGTGGATCATTTTGAATTGCATACAATGGGATAACAACTGAAGATCCAGCTTTTACAGTCAATTTTGTACCAGGAAATTCATAGTCCATATTTGCTACTCTATCCAAAAATGGCAAAATTGGATACATTCTTAAAGTTTCAGAAACTACCATATCCAAATATGGTAGTTGAGACGTTATCTAAAACAACATAATATTTTCCAAATATTAAATTAAAATATTTCACAAAATGCTTTTCAGAAAAAAGCTTCACGCAATTGAAATAAAATTGTTAGTTTCCTTATGAGTATATATTTAAAAACTTCTAGTCATTTTTATAAAATTATGAAAAGCTTTCATGTATGTATCGCAAAGAGAAATTATAGTCACAGTTCACAAATCAACAAAATGGCAGATTTATATATGACGGTATTTTAATGATTTTTTTCAATTTTGACAAAAGCTATGCTTCATATTAGGAAATTTTGATGAAATAGTTTCAGTTTATAAAAGGTTCAATAAACCATGAACACATTCTTTTTTTTATTCTGAAAGAATATTGTCACATATGGAGCTGTTACTATTTAACACTTGATCACAATGGAAATTCGTCATTTGGTAATAATAATTATCAAACTCCAATTAAGTTCTAATTTTCACTTGTCACAAATATAAATAAAACATTTTAAAAGTTTTCGATATGTCTGAGAAGTAGATTTTTACTACATTCTTACTAAGAAAATAATTTTCATAAATTTTAAGAATTGTTTACTGTGTGTGTGTGTATGTGTGTGTGTGTTTCCTATTTCATTAAAGATATGTATGATTCTCTACTTAATTTGAAATAATTATTTGAAAATACATAGCATTACACTAACTCAAAAGAAATGGAAATCACAATTCGTAAAATTTTCATTTTTTTGTTAAGTTTCATATAGTAGAAACATATTTGTAGAAATTATAAAAAATGAATAGAATATTCATTCCCTAATTGATTTCTTAAATAATATTTCTTAATTTGTAATTTAAAGAATAACTCAATGGCCGTTTGCACAAAATCTTTTGATGATTGCTTTCAATCGTAGCGTAAATAAATATAGTTTACGTTTCAGTATTTGAACTTATTTCTTTGAATTTTCAATTGTGTATACGCCAGTTTTTGCATATTAAGCTTGACATTCATTTCATTCAACAGTCTTTTATTATATTCTCTTAATATTTCTTTTTTTACTACTGTTGTAGTTTATTCGCAATAAAAAATTAATATTACATCAAATAGATAGTAGTAGTAATATAACTACATTAAAAAATTTTGTTTATGCAAATAAAATTATCTTAAATATAGTCTCTAATGTTCAAGCTTAATCTTAAGGCGTAGAGAAGTTGAAGTACTGCTTAAATAAAATTTATTAACTGATGAAGACTTAATTCTTTAGCTTTTGACTCACATAAATAATTATATTTATGTAGGATGAATTAATCGTTAGAAGATTTAAAATAAAATACTTTGTAGAACTAAGATTTTTTCATTCGAGTTGTGGAAAGTTTTAAATATTTATAAAATAAGATATCAGTCATGTTATTGTACTTCGTGTATAAATTTATATACTTAATAATATGTTTGAAATTTTTACCATGTCGTAAGTTATCATCCCATCACTTTGACTCAAAATATCTAAAATTTCTTTCCTTAGTTTTTCTTGCAACTCTGGGGCTTTAGCCAGTTCATACAACGTATACGTCATTGTTGTTGAAGAAGTCTCGAATCCTCCCGTAAAAAAAATGGCGGCTTGTGCAACTAAAGCATCGCCCTGTAATTCTGAAAATAAATATAAAAATATTATCGAATATAAAAAGCAAAGGATATTTTTTCCTATTAATGTATACGTACCAATCTTGTTACTGTCTGAATCATTTTCTTGCTCTTTCTTTAAATCAATAAGTAGATCTATCAAATCAGCTCGTTTCGCACCTGATTTTATTCTTTGGTCGATTGCTTCCCAAAAAACTTTTTTTAAAAAGTTAGTTGCACCGTTACCGAATATTTGAATACCAAAAGCCTTAACAAGTTCTGGGATTAGTATGGCTGAAAATAATTCTATGTGACGTCTATATGTTCTACCGAATATATCTTTTCCAACTTTGCGTAGTAAAGCATCAGGATCTAGCAAAGAATTGAATTTCATTCCATACGCTGTTATTCCAATTAAATCAGTCGTATACTTTGCACAAATTTCTTTTATATCCAATGGCCGACCATTTCCTGAAATCGCATTTATTGCATATTTTAATTACATAGAATCATTTAGAAAAAAAAATTTGTTTCGCATCTAGTGTACATATAAGTTAATAGAACTTTTTATTGAATTGTTGTAAGTTTATTTATGTTGATTTATGAATTATTATTCTTATAAATATGGAATAGAAGAAATAATTTAAAGTTCAATCTTATTACATTTGAATATAACAACCATCAAGAAGTTTCGTTGTACCTTTTTTTCAGAATAAATGCTAAAGCCACTTCATTTTTTATATTATTTATTTTAATGAAAGGTAACGTTATTAGAAGTGGAAAAATTATATCTGTAAATTTCATATTTACAGCATTGGTGGTTAACTACTATAATTAAGTATCACTAAATTAGTTGGGCGAAAGATACATTTTAATTATTTTTATTTATTATTCAATGGTAACTGAAAATTATTGAGAACTTAAACATAAATATTTTAAATTATTAGCGCTTCAAATAAATGTTCAGATTACGTGGTAGTAGATAAGATTTACTTTACCATCGAGATTCAGAGACTCCAAATAAACACTAAAATCTTTTTCAATCTCAAGCATCAACTCAAACATTTTCTTTAATCTACCAGATGTAAAAATTGGTGAAAGTTTTTGTCTTATATATTTCCATTCTGGATTTCTAACAACAAAAAGGTTCATTTTTCCAACAATATCGGATGAACGAGAAGTTGCATTTCTACTTGAGAAATAATTGAAGTCCTTTATCAACACATGTTTTATCAATTCTGGATCACGAAGTAAAAGGTGAGGTTTATCTAATACATAATATCCAATGAACAATTCATTTTTACCAACGTCGTACATATCTTGAAGAACGTCAATTATCGATCTTTTAGCTAAAAGGCAAGGCCCCAAGTTGCCGAAAAACACTGTAGGTGGAATTTCTTTGACTCCTAGCTTTTTCCAATATTTGAAATTCCTTGTAAAGTATAAATAAATTCCTATGATTATACAAAAAAATAGAAGGAGGCCATCAAGACCCCAATACTGAGTTAATATAGCCATTGCTTTATATCAATAATTAATAACGCCATAAACACATTAAAATATTTGAATTATCTCAGCAACAGTCTAAAGAGAACTAAACACGTAAGTTGCATTAATCTTGTTTATAAAGATTTCAAAGTGTCAAGTCACTTGGTTAGATAATTTGTCATTTGCAAGTTAATTTCAGTTGCAAATGTGATGTCTCATTTCAATTTACTACGACAGAATTGGTTGTTCGTTCAAAAATTATTTGGTACATTAAACCGTATTGCATTTTAAAACTAAACGTAAATATGATACAATCGAAATTACAACATTTCTTATGTTGAAGTTTAATATTTCTATTCAAATTTATTTTTAAATACTATGTCATTTAACATCAATTTAAAATTTGCATATTAATCGCGAATATTAATGTAACTTATGTATTAATTAGAATGTAGCTTTTTAATTACTTTGCTGTTTTATTCATTTGGAAAAATATTCTTTTTATTTTAATGTCTTATAAATAATTCATAGTTCGACAAAAGTACGAATGATTAATCTTACTAATGAGATACATTGCATAAAACTTAATATACTATAAGACTTACGCAATCTAGTTTATTACAAACTACATGCTTCCTATGAAGAAAAGAACTCCACGTAACTGAAATGAAAATTATTTCTAATGAGTGTGTAATGAAAGTACCTATATAGCAGATGATTTAAACATCAAACCCTCACTCTATTAATATATTTGATAAATTTTGATGAATATTGTTAAATGATGAATCTTAAGGATGGTTCATTAACATTGAAGAACTAAAATAACCATTGCGGGATTGGTTGTATTAATCTAAAAAAAATGAATAATAATATTAAAGATAATTATTATAAATTATATATTTATATATTGCTCCTGTAAACATTTATTTTTAATTTTCAATAAAATGTAATAGCACACGATCAATCACTTCTAGTTTTCCTAATGAAACTTCTATTAAAACTATAATTATATGTATCATTTTTATTTCGAATGTTCAATTGATTCAAAACTTAATAATCTTTGAAATGATCATTCATTTTTTAGATCTTTAGTGACATTTATCACTCATCACTAAATCAATAACACATTTTATAATAATAATAATCAAGCATTAAGTGTGATTTTTAATTACAAGAAAACATGAATAAAATCTAATAAAAGTTTGTAAACATTTGTTAATCAATTTTTTTTATTGTGCATTTATGAAAAAAACCTCATATTATCATCAAATGCTTAAATTCTCGAAGTAAATGTTTTTTTATAGTTGAAAATGCTTTTATTTTGAAGGTCTCAGCATTTTTTAATTATATTAGAATTTGTTTAATTAAAATTTTGGCTCATTGATCTTGGTACTATTGAAAAAAATAATACAAATAATATTTAACAGATATTTTAACTACTACGAATTCTAAGCCACGGACATGGGTATGAGTTGTATCAACTGTCTACGGCACTGGCCTAAACGGGCAACCGCTGTTACAAATAAGTATAGACGGTTACATAGGTTGCAGGCAAAAATACGACTATCTAAAAATTACTTTATTACGTTGTTATAACAGATATTGCAAATATAACTATAAATGGTTTTTAATAATTCACATCGGTTATAAGATAAGTTCAAAATTTTGTAAACAATGAGCAAACTTTTTATTAGAATTATGCTTATGTATCGTACTGTTATGTTTTCTAGGTAACAAAAACTCATAAATTATAGTTCAAATATAATGTCTCCAAAATCTAAATTAGGAAGTATTGTCTGACTTATTATGTCTTTAAATACTTATTTTCATACTAGCAACGTAATTCTAAGATTTCTTTTAATATATGATAAATTTTGGTAATGCATATTATAATTATATTTGTATACTATGGATTTACTATCCATCTAAACGTGATTGATTAAAATTCTGACAATAAGAAAATATTCCAAATAACTCAACGCAGATCGCTTTTGAATTGCAAAGGAGGATTCTTACTACAAATCAACGATATTATTTCGTCTAGTAATTATAATAAATTAATAAGCGAAAAAATAATCGTATTGAAGACATCATTTCAACTGTATTTATTATTATACTAGCGAATTTGTTGCAGCTTCACGTATATTAATAAATTTGTGCTGGTCACTCCCTATGATGATTCCGAATCGCCTCATTATGACTACACTAAAAATATTTTTCAAGTACTAAAATCCCTGTATTTTGTATTAGTAAATAGTATGTAAGTACACGTTACTAAATGAATCCCCAATTGAATAATGGAGCATTGAAATATTCGAAGGTTAGTGTACATCAAGACTCTATGTCTTTTGACGTCGAGTTAGGTGTCTCGAGACACGTGGCTTGCTGTACCTGCATTCGAATGCACCTGTGTGCCTTACTTTTCAGTTAACGTTTATTTACATAATAGTTTCTGTTAGTAAGAGAATATGGGCATTTTAATACCTGCAAAATATTAATTAGGTAAGGCAGATAAATTTTTTGAAACAGAAAAAAGTACGAGTCTTATTGATCAAAAGAAAATCCGTTAATTTGTTGTTTTAAAAAATAACTTTCAAAAAATGTAGTATGATTTTTAAAAACTCTATAAAAATTGTTAATAGAATAACTAAACCGATACATATAATATTTCACAAGAAATAACCGCTGATATATTTGGATATTAATATACAAGAAAAAAATTTTGATCCCCCTTAAACGATAAAATTTTTCATATCCTAATTTAGTATGAACTTACATCATGAGCCAATCTTCTAAAAAGTTTCAGAATTAAAAAATTATAAAATAATATTTGTTAGTATCGTTTAATACTAATTATCTAAGCTTTTATTTCGTTAAATAAATAAACGATTACACAACTAACAAGTTAAAACTTAAACAATTGACTCATTTCAATAATAAAAAGTTAAAAAATAACTACTATATACTTCCGCTGGTACAATATAACTACGTAAAATGCTTAACACGATGCTATTTTGAAAGTGCGATTATGGTATCCTGCAGAGAGCGGAAGATAAAGAAAAAGAGAAAGAATGCAGGTAACAAACTTAAGGTCCATAGTTGGTTGGTACGAGTTCTCTAAACAACGAAGTCCAAGAACTGTTTTTAGAAGGGCACGCAAGTACGCAGGTAGCTTGTTTCCTTGGATGCTGTGAAAGCTGACCCTGATTTGAAGGACTCCAGTGGACTATGTGCAGGATGCTCAGAATGCGGCGATGTATCTCTCGTACTCGGCCTCTTTCTTGTGCTACTTTTATTTTTTCTCGCCTAACCTATGAATATTTCAAAAGAAACGAATTTGCACCGCCTTCGTTAATGCATTACCAGAATAGAGATTGATAAGCACTTAATAGCACGTTTTATTGTTCATTCAACATTTTTTAGATTTCACTACTTCTCCAAATCGAAATAGCAAAGACTCATTTTTAAGCCAATAATAATGAACCAATTTTTATCCATTTTTCATAGTTTTATCATAACTATAGAGGGAACCAAGATTAATACCTACAGATACCTATTCAAGATGTATCCGAAAAATTATTCAAAGATTTATTAAATCTACGATTAATAAAATGTATCATAATAGTAATCATAATATGTGATCAATAGTACTTGTTTTCTACGGTCCTAGTTTTATATCTGTATTAGTAATATATTTAACATCGTGTATTACCAATAGAGCATGAAATGTTTCAAACAGAATCTTTTATAACATATTTCATTGAATGTCTGAAACATTTAAAAATATATTTTTTAATTATTTTCAAATGTATGATTATAATATTTTTGGGCATCAAATAGCTACCCATTGCGTCCAGGGTTCAAATCTTATTTTAAGAAACATTTTTTTGCAATTGTAAACATTCAATTTAATTAAATTAATTTAGTTATACAAATAAGCCTGACTAAATATAATAATATAACATTCGCAAATAATTTTTGACAAATTTTGCAAAAATTATCAAATGTTTCGTGAAGTCTTTCTGTACGATGTTTCTGTAGTACGATCATATAAATATATATTTGTATGTGTCCGTGCAAGAAAAACTACAAAAACGTTGTGAGAAAATAAGCTGCAACGTCTCTTGAATGTTTGTGGTAAAATATTATTAAAATATTTTAAATATATTTCAAGTTGTAGAGCAGCAACTTTTCTTATAACTATCTGGTAGCTCGCATTGCACGGACAAAACAATATTTTAGAAATATTTTTATGAAAGGTTTCAGAAATGTTTATAAACTTGTATGAAACCTTGCTGAAAACTTGCAACTTGAGTCTTTAGCATTGCTTTCTTTCAAATTGACAAGCTCATCGTACCTCAGTGCTCCAGAAATTCCAAATATAAGAATAACAAAAAGGAAAATATAGGTTACAAATATAATTAAACTGTACTAGTTTCCAGATACATTGATAATAATGTCAATTCTTACTTTTACTGCTAAATATATAAGATCATCAGCTTCATTAATAAATTTTTCAATCTTATACCAATTCAAAACTAATGATTTTACTAGCTTGTAACTTTTTGAGTTATTTTTCAATATAACCTTTATATTAAACAATTTATACCGATCAAAATATCAATCAAATCCTTTGCCATTAGAGTTTCCTTTTTTCTGCAACACTATGGACCATATGTTCCATAGTGTTGCAGACTTTAGCTTTTCTCTCAAGTCATTAAAATATATGATTAAATTGTTTTCACTAGAGTTTGGAAGTTGAGTTTGATTTTTTTCACCTATTTTTTAAATGCCTCATAGACTTATAAATATGGATTGGAGGACTTTTTTGGTAGTATCCTGCTGTTTACAATCAAGTTTTTTTCTGTCAAAATCTTTCGGAACTTCTTCGTTGGTCCAATAATCATCATCAAAAAATTTACTGAAATTACCCGTCATGGTTGTCTTCATTCACCATACTATTTATTTTAAGCGCATTATAACTCTTTATAACTTATACAGATTTTACACCTTAGGCTATTTTAAAAAACGAAATAAGATCTTATTTTTTTTATTTTGTTCGGCTAAGACCGGATTATGTAGGTTATAACACTTATTTACAGATTGCGGCGAAAGCTTTGATGCGAAAGAATGCACGAAAGCTTAGAGAGCAGCGCCATCGGCAACATGCACGTTTTAAATCATTTCCCAAATGATTTACTGGTAGTATCCGGATGATAACTACCAACTAACAAAATGTCGTGAGCATCTCGCTGAAAAAGGTACGAGTCAGCGTACTATCAGTTTAGAGTAAGTCTCCCACGCTATTGGAAAGCTTCACAGATTGTCCTATTGGTCATCGTCGAGATCTGATCCGAGTCCAACATATCACTAAGGGCACTAGATCTCTGTGTTTACTATCCGGTCCAGCACCTTAGGCTCGCGCCCCTCTCATCCTTCGTTCCGAGAGAGAGAAAGAGAGAGAGAGAGAGAGAGAGAGAGAGAGAGAGAGAGAGAGAGAGAGAGAGAGAGAGAAAGCAGCAAGCAAGAGAGCTGATGTTTCGCCGAGAGCGCCGCCGCCGTTGCCGCAACAGCAGTTGGCGTAGCAGCACTTCTACAGGCTCCGCGTGTTGGTTCAGTTTGCTAGCGGCGCTCGTACCGGACACGCGCGCGCCGGCACAAACGGCGAGTCTAATTTTCGACACGAGCCCAACGAACGAGAGATACAATGTTGACGGCACTCAACGGATGGTGCTACGTTTTTCCATACCTTAACGATCGTTCTACAACTTAACTACCCCAATCGAAAAACGATCGCCGATTCATATTCTCCCCGATCCACGTGCATTTCTTTCTCGTCCTACCCTGTGTGCCAAGTGAGTTGTGCAAATTTCGTTGATTACCATTGGTGTTTTGTTCGAGCTTGCCGGGACCGCGTGTGAAAATCGAAGCTGGTTGTTTCTTTTTTTTAAATCCATGCTGTCGCTCAGGGATGAATGAGACGGAGAGGCGAGCGATGGCTCCGTGGCCGCGAGTTTGTTTGCTGCTGCTACTCCTCGGATGCTGGGATGCCCTTGCGGCACGTGGCGTCAAGCACCAGCTCAAACAAGGTACGTGCCTGCGCAGCTTCAAAATCCCGTCGTGTATTTGCTTGCTAGACCCGTCTGTGTCGGTCTGTCTCCCTCCCTCCCTCTCTCTCTCTCTCGTTCTCTTACGTGCGTGCCGACTCTCGTCTCATTCACTGTCGCCTTTTCTCTCTCTCTCCGAACACCCGACGACGTTTGGCGTCTTTCTCTCTTTCTCCTCGACAAAATTGCGAGTCATTTACGCTGCAGTATACCGACGCGAGCAACATATACTAACGTCACAGATATAGTTATTCCTCACGATGAGCTTTTAAAACTCATGTCAGATTCTTTGATTGATTCATTGATACAGTATCGACCCCCCCCCCCCTCTTTCCATAATTATTTTTCAAGTTACATGGGAATATTATTTTAATTAGTTTTTGATAGGTTGATGTGGTGAGATTGTTCATTTATATTGAACTAACAAGTCAAATATGAAATGAGCCTTTTATATTTAGCAGCTGTTATTGTGATTTATGAGACTGTAATAAAATGGTGCGAATTTATTGCTATTGAAAAATTTTAATTTAATCTGATAGGAATCATAATCAAGTACATCGCGGTTTAAAAGAACATGTCATAAAAATCGTTTATCTCAGTAGTCGCAGGAAAGATGAAAATAGTTGTCATTGGCCGATCAAATCCGCATGCATTAACATAATAGGACCGCAGCAAAGAGGAAAAAAGCCCAATATAGCGCCTTGGGTGCGAATATCTAGAGGTTTACTTAATTATACAGGGACGCCGCAAACAAAAAACGAGAACAAGAGAAAAAGCATTGGGTGGTCTCTGGCACTTATAAAATTAGGGAAGACACCAGAGAGAGAGAGAGGGAGAGAGTCGATGAATTCTTCCGCTCGCCGCGTGAAATACGCGTCTGGTCTGGGAAGGAAGGAGGAGGACGTCGTCGCGGGGTCGTCGGTAGCCGGCATACCGCAACGCCCGCTTCTTCGGCTTTATATTTAGCTCTCTCTCTCTCTCTCTCTCTCTCTCTCTCTCTCTCTTGCTCGCACGAAACAACTCGCGAGCTCGCGACACCTATCTTAGGAGGACTAAGTGCGACGTGCAACCCTTTTTTCCACCCATTATGTGGCAGCCGCCTCCGCACTTGCTTCTACACTCTAGCACATATCTTTTTGGCTCTCGTTATTCTTTTTCTTTTTCTTTTTTTTAGAGGAAAAGATGATGCGTGTAAAGTTTCGGTTGAAATTATTTTCGGAAAGGTTCATACGCCCGGTGTTAAGCGGAATCGGGAAATCCAAAATTATTTCTCCCGTGATTACGATGTCGCGACGCTCGAAATAGAACCAGGGAAATTATAACGATCGCCACGGTCACAACTTTGCGTAAAGGTGTTTACTGAGAAAATACACTCTTTTTCAATGTTCGACACAAGGGCATGCTAATGCGAATGAAAAGTTTATCTACATGGACAAGCGATTTGTTGATAAAACAGTATGTTTATGTAAGAGCTTCATCACACACGCAGCACAGACGTTTCGCATCCAAACGGAGCTGTGGCTACAAAATAAATGGCTCCGATTCAAATTTACATATGTTTTGATCTCTGTTGCTTTGCTTGATTTTATTCCAGATCATCAGTTTCATATATATATAGGCAACTGGTTTTATGAATGAAACATCGCATACGAATAAATGTAAATTCCAATCGGTAGAATAGCAGATCAAATGAACAGATCAGACGTAGTTTATTAAATATAGTAAGTGCAGGCGGTCCTGCTCGCGAGTACTTATTTAGAATACCGAGAAAATAAAATTGATTGTCGAAGAAAAGCTAAAATCATCGAGTGAGCGAGCGAACCTGCGAGACAGAGAGAGAGAGAGCTTAAAAAGATAAAGTTATATCAGATAAACGCCAAGAGCGAATGTATATATATGTACAAATCAAGCGAATCAGCGGATGAAATATATCCGAACGGCGTGCATGTATTTGAATGCGTGCGCTTAAATTACCTTTCATAAATACAAATAGCACGCAGACGGGGAGGTAAAAAGGGGGGTGGAAAAACTCATTATTCCACGCGTCAGCAAGGTCAATTGGATTTTTACGCGAGAGCTTTCCAGCTAAAAAGTCCCTCTGCGCCGAGACGCAAAGAAATGAATAAAACGTAGTGTTGAAGTGAGCGAGGGAGCCGGGAAGAAACACGTTTTTAATAAGTTTTTCATTAGTCGGCGGCGGCGGCGGCGGCGGCACGCGCGGCGGACACGGATAAGAGCGAGTTCCGATTTCGCGCTGGGCAAGCCCGCGGCATGGATAACGATCTCGTCGCTGCCCACGCGCTCGCGCGCGCCGACTTGTAATCACGATATAGAGTCGAATCGATCCTTCTCTCTCGCTCGCTCTCTCTTGTGCTCCGTAGCTCGAATGAGCCGTCTGCCCGTGAACGTGAGCGCGCGGTGTGGGAAGGCCGGGCCGAGGTGGGCAGCTCGCCCTTGCACTTGATCCTGCGCGCGCGCGCGCGCGCGAAAGTGCGTGGGGCATTTTGCGTCAAGTGCAGCGGTGTCATTTATTCCAGCCTGGCTCGCTCCTTGCGTTTCTTTCTTTTCCCTTCTGCGTGAGCGCGTTTTAATAAGCCGACTCCTGGCGAGCCGTTGTAGCGTGCAGCGATCGTTGTTATGGCTTCATTATGAGATCCAAATTTACTTGCCTTCAACAACGTTCGATTGGCTTTTCCTCTTGCCCACCTTCGATAGCTTCGTTATTCGACATTTTTTCAATTAAATGCTTTATATTTGAATTTGATAGCACATTTTACCGTATCGTAACATTCTTAACTACTCAAATCTGTGGGATCAATTAAACAGATAAAATAATTATGTAGGCGAGATGCGTAAATTAGTTTAGCCATTAAAATTAACGATGTTGTTCCTTCAGAGAGCCACGATAGAATTCGAATGAAAGTTTCTAGGTTTCAATTCTAAAAGACGGATCTCGTAAAGTAATCTTTACAGCCGAGTAAGCTTCACGCGGCAATAATCATAATACAAGACGCGCCCGATCGCAGCCGCGATAATTTCTCGAAAGCTCACAGAAACGATCGTGTAAAACGACGACGACGACTGTAGCCTCCTCGCGGCTTGTCCGTTCGCGCGAGCGCGACTACCGCGAGCGCGGCGGCAACTTGTTTACGAGGCAATTAAAGAGACGGTCAAGGGGTCCCGAGACGCGGACCGGCCAAAGGCAGCGGCTGCGAATTAAAGCGTAAAGCCAGGCTCCTTCGATCTTTTGCAGTCGAGTTTGCGAGAGCAGAGCGCGCGGCACGCGCGACGCGCATACGCCGCGCCGAGATATTTCAGAATTAAGCCTGCACGCACGCTCGCAACGCCGCCGATACCTCACTTTCATTATCTCGGGTATTGTGCGCGCCTTAAAGGGACACAGCTCGTTTGAGATGCGCGCCGCTGGGAAGTCGCGGTGCCCGCGGCTTATTTCTTCTCGCTCGGAGACCAAGTGGAAGAAGCGAGCCACGCGGTTTCACGCTGAATTTCGTTGCGCTCGCATGCCGCGGAAAGTTTACCCTACAAATATTTCGAGAGCCTCTTGGTTTATCTGCATTGCGCTCTTGAAGATTAAGGCGTGTGGATTTGCAAACGCGACGCGAGTGAAATACTCGCGATGATTACCTCAAGTGGCAGATAATCTATATCTGGGATGGAAATTGGCCATGGAGAAAACCCAAGAGCGCCCGATGACGATCAATCGAAAAATCAAATTTATATTCATCAAAAGCAATAAACTGCAGCGCGGCGTTCGTAAAGCGAGGCAAATTAAAATTGAATGCACGCATTATGTCCGAGCTTGCAAGCTCTACCGTCGGGTTCTTCCTTCCTCATTTGAATGAAAATTGGCCGGCCATACGCGCGCGAGCGGCTATAAACGTCGCGACGCGAAACGAAACGCACGTGACGAAACGACGCTTTTAATGGCACGGTTGCTGCTGCTGCTGCTGCTACTGCTCTCTTCTCTGTCTGCTTTCGTCCTCTTCTTCCCCGCGCGGCTTGCGCCGGAAATTAATGCTTGCGGGCAGCACACTGTAAAGATTATTCGAGTGAAGTTGTAGATGCTGCCGTCGGTATGAAACGGCGTTCGAGGCGCGAGGAACAATAGCCGTACGCCTCGTCGTCGCTGTATCGCGCGAAAGTGTAATCGCGTAATGCGCACGCGATCGTCGTTTATTAAGATTACTATCGTTGCGATCTTTTTCTTCTTCTTCTTCTCTTCTTCTTTTCGTCGATTTATTTCACGCCGAAAAAATAAAAAGCCGCGGCGTGATTCAGTAGTAAAGGCGCAGTGAATGAACGCCTGAAGTGGATAAATTACAGGAAGCCTGCACTTGCGACATCGAGAGTGCGATGCGTCTTGCCCCGTTATATCGCATCTCTTATGCGCGTCCCGTGCGTGTCTCGCGATTTTTCTCTCGCGACGGCAGCGATAGGGATTAAGTACAATCGCGGACAATTAATTGTCGCGGCTGTACGCGCGGGAAATAACAGTGCCGGTCGTTCGTTTGGGCCGCGCGCACGACACCGAAATCGCGCCGAGATAAAGCAATAACAATTCCCACTCGGCCGATCAGCGCAGGTAATGCCGGGGAACGAAGAATCTGCCAGCACGAGCGCGCGCTGCGCCCGAGAAAGCCGCAAATACGCAATCAGCCAGCACGTATAGCAGTTAGTCTGCCTATGACCCCATAGCGTACATTACGCGGTAGACTCAACTCTGGTCGAGGCGCGCGGTCAGGGTCTCGACGCTCCGTACGCGTCGGTATAATTTTAGCGCGCTGGGAATTGTATAAAATCGGCGTGGCGCCGAAGGGAGATTCATTGAGCTGCAGGCCACGTTCGATCGATTCGCAGCTCCGTCGCGCGGATGACTATTTCGTCGCTTTCGCGATGACGCGCGCTCGTCCGTGAATTGGCATAATTGAGCTGGGCGGATTGATTTCGCGGGTGAAGCTGCG